CAATCCGTGGGTACAAATATCTTTCAAGGCTGCTTGTTGTAGATGACGATAATGAGCACCTTATTTTAGAACAGGACTTCCTGGCGGTAAACAGTGCGGTAATTGATTGCAGCGTCGAAAATAACTTTAAAGAATAATGTTGAAGTTCCTTTCAATTCTGTCTCTGATGTCATGTCAAGGAAAAAGAATTGTTGTTCTATTGAGCCAATTTCAAAAAGTCATGAAAAGTTTTCATTAAACAAATCCAAATATTTATATTTTGTTAATCTCTTGGAAGTAAATAGATATCATATGTTTAAAGTGTCAAATATAAAAAAGATAGAATTTAATATTGATAATTCTTTGCAGGAGAAAAAGCGGGATGAATTGAATCAATTATTATTAGAATCCGTGACACGTTTTCTTTTGCGCCAGGTAAACTAGGATTGTAGTAAGATATCGCGCCCTACTGTTGTAACACTAGTAGTAGTACTTTTTTAGATAGTAAGATGCCGTGCTTGTCGATGGTGGCAACACAGTGCCATAGTTTCCTCTTGTAAGTGTCACACGCGCGCGCTGTCTCTCAATTGTTATAAAATTCATACGGCCTTTGTACTAATGTATTATGTAACATTAATGGTTTCTTTCATCATGTTTGTTAAGTGGATAATAAACTAAATAAACTTTCTATAAGAACTTTAGTTGTTTTCCTACAGGATGTTATAAGCAATCATTGGTTGAAATCAAAACTACTGATAAGGAACCGATGCATAAAATGCCGTAACGTGTCTCCCCTAAACAGAAGCAAATTATTGAAAAACAAGTGGAAGAAATGTTGAAGTGTGGGATAATTCAGGAACCGAAAAGTCCATATGCTGCACCGATAGTTTTAGTGGATAAACTAGAAGGGCCGCCGAGATTTTGCATTGATATTGGGGCCTTAAATAAAAAAAATTAAAAACGATTCACACCCTATTCCGACAGTTGATGATTTGTTAAGTAGTTTACAGGGTGCAAGGTATTTCGCAGATTTAGATATGAATTCTGGGTATTGGCAATTAGATTTAGGAGAAGGGAAGGAAAAAACTGCCTTTGTTACACATACGTTGTTACACATACGGGACTATATGAGTTCAATGTGTTACCATTCGGCTTGAAAACAGGTCAGACGATGTTTCAAAGAACAATGGATAAAGTATTGGCAGGAATGAAGTATCCTAATGTGATAGTTTATGAGAATAACATATTGGTTTACGCGAACACATTTGAAGACTTCAAAATTTCATTGAAGGTTTTGATTCGATTGCAAAATGCGCATTTGGCTTTAAAACCATCTAAGTGTCGTTTCGGTTTACAGAAGGTGACTGTTCTAGGACATGAAGTGCCGTGAAGGGCCGTGAGAATTGGACCGAATCACTATCCGAGTTATCTATAACTCTCGTTGTCGATCGACACGTTTTCGAGTTGTTTGGGAGTGCTTATTGAGAATGTGGCATTAATTTCTAAATCCAAGATGGTTGCCAAGATTTTTCAAAAATTTATTTTTGATAATCCTTAGGGAAATGGCATTTATATCTGAATAAATGTTGGCTGACACGACTTTTCGCATTTCTAAATGCAAAGTGGCGGGCACGATTTCTCAAATAATGGCAAGGTAGGTATCGTTATCGAGATATTTGGGGGTGCTCATTACGAATATAGCATTTATATGTAAATCCAAGATGGCGGACACGATTTTTCAAAAAATGCAATATGGGTATCATTTTAGAGGTATTTGGGGGTGCTCATTACGAATATGGCACTTATTTCTAAATCTAAGATGGCGGGCACGACTTTTCGAAGCACCCTTATTGCATTTTATAAAAAAAAAGATTGTTTCCGCCATCTTGGATTTATAAATAAGTACTGTATTCGTAATCAGCACCCCCAAACACCTCGAAAACGATACCCAACTTGCCATTATTCGAAAAAATGTGCCCGCCACCTTGGATTTAGAAATGAGTTCCATATTCGTATTGAGCATCCCTAAATACCTCGAAAAGGATACCCATATTGCATTTAAAAAAATCGTATCCGCCGTCTTGGATTTACAAACAGCTGTGGAAAGTTAGTGATTTCGATGTAAACACGTTATCAAATTCATTCTTAATGCAATTAAATATCGTGCTATATAAAATATTTGGAAACTCCCGTATATGGGGGAAGGAATTTAACCCACTGGCGATATTCTTTTGAAATCTAATGATTCGTTCTGTGGTAATCGGTCTGCAGAGAAATTGGTCTACCTTCTTGCACAATTAAAAGTAGCCAATTGGCCACTATGGTCTGATCTTAAGCAATTTATTATTGATTTAGATACTGCGTGTGTGTTGCAAAAAATGTTGTCAACACAAGCAGACGATGATGCAGTGACGCGAGTTGGTTCCAAGAAAAGATTGATCAAGTTAAAACTTTTAAATAAATTAATGAGTCTTACAGAAGTAGAGACACTAATACGGTTTTATAGTTGCTAAAATCTGTTTTAAACTATCTTTCATGATTAAATATTATATTTATATATATTTATGGTTGTTTAATGTTCAAGTCAAAGAACTTTTATTTTACGAAAATAGATAATCTTATTTAATATATTTGAAGTAATGTACTTTAAATATGTATTAAATATTTTATTAATTTGTTTTCACACTACATACACTTATACCTGGTATATATTGCAAAGATTATGTAAGTATTTAATCGATATAAGAGTACACACTGCAATAACACTATACACACTCATGATATAAGTATTTACGTAGTTTATTTTATTTTCTATTTCGGGACGCATACGCCCGTCACTCTCGCTCACTCGGCCAGGGCCCATTCAACTTCAACCAACTTTTGTATCTATGGCTCCGTCGTTTTGAGCGACGATTTCGCCAACGTCAGGGTTGAAAGACATGTAGAGCGATTGAAAACCAGCGTCACAACCTAGCTTTGGTTGTGACTTTAGCTGAATGGTATCCTTTTGTACACGCCACAGCCGCACACATGTAAGTATAGTATTATGTAACTTGTTGTTTAAATGTTTTTTTTTACGCTGTTTTTTGTGTTATTTCTGTTCTAGCTATATTAGTTTTTGTTTTTTTTTTATAATGTGGCGTTACAATAAATGGTTTCTATTTCGATTTTAATTCAAACGCGTTGTAATTAGTAGAGGGGGGCCTGTATACAGATAAGATGACAAACTAATCCAATTCCACACATGAAATCTCAATAGTCCGTTCAATATGGAGATCTGTGATATTCTTACGTTCTTTACATTTTACATTACGCTTAATAATAATCATTGATCCGCCTTTACTTAAGTTCTTTCTTATGAACACACTTACATAATTTTCACGCACGTTGTTAATTAATTGCTTAGTAGTCTTTCAACCAGTGTTCTGTTACACAAAATAACTACTATTGCCACATTGAGCAGTCTACAGCGCATCGCGTGCTTGCTAGTAACGGGAGCCATGTCGGCTACTCCGGGGGCGGCCCTAAATGCATTGCTGAATCTGACTCCCCCGCATATATTCATACAGAAGGAGGCCGGTACCAGCATGTAGACGCTTATCACCAAGTTAAGGACCAGATGTCACTCCCAGACATCGAGATCAACCCAGGACTCAATTCTGGAACATCCTGTTCTGGGAATGACTTCTGATGTCATGCTTCCCAAGCTAAAAAAAGCTCTACCAGGTAAAATTTCCAACCAGGGAAGACTGGAAAACCAACAGTCTTACCGTAGCCTTCTTTGGTTTACCGATGGGTCTAAAATGGGACCCAACGTAGGCTGTGGTATACTCGGCGTGAGACCTAGGCTCAACTATAAGCTGAATTTGGGACGACACTCCCTCTATCTTTCAGGCCGAAATGTACGCCGTAATTGCTTGTGCGGATTTGAACCTGAAGAGAGGCTATGTTAACAAGTATATTTACATAAACTCAGATAGTCAAGCTGCTCTACATGCTCTAACCTCTGTCACCCAAACATCGAGGATTGTAGAGAACTGTGTGAATATACTGAATGCTCTCGGGGAAAGGAATAAAGTGGTCCTGTGCTTTGTTCCGGGTCACTCTGACGTCGAGGGAAATGAGGCAGCAGACGAACTGGCAAAGGCTGGTGCTAGGGAAACCTTTATTGGACCCGAACCCTTTACAGGGATAGCATACAGCCTAGCAAAGCTCACTCTGCTGAACGAGAGCACACACGTCTCCCGAAAAGTGTGGCTACAGAATAAGGGTCTTGAGCATTCAAAAGCCCTGATAGCTGCCTAAAGTGCCAAACACTGTAGAGAAGCTCGAATGAAATAAAAAGAAGGAATGGCATCAGAATGCTCACTAGAGTTTTAACAGGACATTGTGGCTAGAAGCAGGCACATGTCAAATATTGGGTAGAGAGAGAATAGAGAGTGTAGATTCTGCCACAAGGTGGATGAAACTCCTGCTCATCTTCTCACCCAATGTTACCCCTGATGGGCGTACGAAGCTCCATACTGGGAAGGCACATGCCACAACCAGAGGACATTAAATCTGTCGGAGCTAGAAAAGTCCTTCAGTTCTTCAATGTTGTTGGCCTTGGCTCCGAACTGTAATTAGTGGTGATCACAATAGATCAACTGAGGGTCGCAGTGATGAGGGGCTACGTACACACATCAAAAAAAGTTTGCGATCAGTTTGAAAACTTAACATATTTTTAATATGTGGAAATATTATTAAGAAATATGTAATAAATAGTTTTTTTGTTAAAAGTACAACATTAAATAAATAATTAAAATTAAAAACAAATAATAGTATCACTAAAGAGGTTTTTGAAATATTTTTAGAAATTAAAAAATATTTCAAGTTTTAAAAGTGATCGCAAACTTTTTTTGATGTGTGTATGCCCTGAATGAAGCCACCCTAATAATAATAATAATCATAATGAAAAAATAATAACAATAATAAGATTTTGCCAAAAACGATTAATAAGATTTAATCAAACAAGATCTCACCTCAAATTTGTACTTGTGTGCTCCAATGGTTGTGCGTTGCTTCTGCCAAAAGTTGTCAGGTTTAACTACCAGTGCCTGATGGACGGATGAAGGGAAATGTTCTTGTAGAACTTTTAGGATTGGTTTGATAACTGCCCATGCTGACCCTCGCATGTCAATCAAAACCGTAAAGCCTTGCGACTTCACAGAATCACTGTAAAAATAACATGATGTCATTAGTGAATGAGTACATGTTGAGACATGTCAGTCTATATGTATATTTGGTGTAAAACATGTCAGTGAACAATTAACAATTTCGATTAACTGTAGATATTTGTTAACAAGAAGTGTATCACTATCCAGCTCTGACTGGTTGAATTTAGATGGCCATTCATAGATTAAATTGAATTGCCAAAATTTACTTTTAAGTATAAACAACTTATAACAATCCAAGATGTATGAATAGACAATTAGTGGCATAGCTATTTATTTCTAGCTAGCTTAACAGTTATAAGAAAATAATTTGATATCAATAGGTCCACTAAATGGTTGATTTCAATCAATTGAGAACTCTGAAGTATTTCAGCAGTAAGATGGCATTGACCTTTTGTTGGTAAGTCAATGCATGATGGTAAATTCATTTTCTCCCGTCAATCAGTTAGGTTAGAAATATGTGCAATTACCAAATAAATAGTCAAAACTAACAAGGCTCATCTGTGATGCCTTATCATTATGTGGTATAAATCATTTAACAATACATATGTGAAAGACGTGTCAATGCCCTAAAAATCTGTTGAGTATTATGATGCAAACCTAGGTATACTCATTAGATAGTGAAGCAGTCGTCTATAATCATCTGGTGTGACGCGGTCCCGGCGCGAGCTGGCCGGGAACCACACGATGGGCCCGCCTCGGCGGTCGCGCCCGCCGGTCAGAGACGCCACGCGCTCCTGCAGAAGCGGCAGCACGTCCAGCGCACGCGCACCCACCTCCATTGCAACTCCTAATTAAGGACCACTCTGGAGAACCCTAAAAATACCAAACAATTAGATACACATTAAATCCACATAGACCAAGTAACAGGAAATGTACAGAACAGAAGGGGAAGAAAGCTAGAACAATTAGAGAAATTCACTTAAATTATACCTCTTTAAAAAAGAAGGTGCTCACGCATCACAGCATGATCTAGTAGCACCTAATCTGATATAATTATAGGACTTGGCACAAAGGATTGTGGAGGCATACCATCAATTATAATCCAGTATACTGCAAACAATGGAATGGATTGTCACTGTAGTGAAACTGTGGCAATGACTTAACACATACTCCAAAAGAACCATGCTAAGCAGAAAGAGAGGTTGAAACAGTCATAATTTTTTACCACATTGTTAGTAAATAAAGAAACTTCAATACACTGTATCTGCCCATACCTAAAACATACACAGAATTTGAGGTGTTTGGAAAGTAGTAGTAGTAACACACTTTAAATGTAGTTAGATTTTAAGTGTAGTTAATGGATTTGTAAAAGTATTTTTATTTGAGTATCTATTTATAGAGTAATCTATTTAAAGTACTGCATAGTAACACAATTATGATATAAATACTTGTTAAATTTTAAAAGTGATATCCCAAAATATTGTCTTTAAAAATAATGTTCAATATAGAGATACTTGTTTGAATTTTAACAAAACGGCCTAATTTAAATATTGTTAGTGTTGATAATAAAATACAAACAACTTTGACAAATCTTCATATTGTATAGTAGCAAACGAGCACAGATTGTATCATGCATTGCTGGCCACACACCTCTCAAACTCTTGCTTTCTATAGACTTTACAATTAAAATGGTATGAATTTGATATTTATGCATGTGGGTAAACTGAACAAAGTATGGTCAGTCTTGATCCGGAACTGGTGTTTGATTGTCGCTCTCTAGTACATTGACAAAGAGAACTTTAAAAATTTAAATATATCTGGGAATAAATAACAAATTATATTGAAAGCCCATTATACTACAGCAGCATTTACAAGCATTTTGACAATGATTTTCTAAATGGTAATTATTATACCATTTGGCCATGTCAAAACTGCTGCAAAATGCATTATTTTATTAATTATAGTAAGAGGACTCCTTAAATTCGTAATTGACATGAAGGAGGATCCAAAAAATAAACAACAAAATATTACTCACGGCGACCAAAAATACGCAAATCGATGAATATTCCAATATTAAACTTGATACATGTTACAAATCCAGCAAATGTAGATCTTAGATTTAGGTGTTAGATTTTTTTTTGGAACAGGATTCATTTTGGGTAATAAAAAAAGAGAACCGAAGGTTCTTTGTAAAGCCGAAGACCAACGCCAAGGGTCATGTGCAGACCCAGTACAAAGAAACGAGCTTTTATTTGGCAAATGACGAGCAACTTGTAAGTGAAACTGCAATTAAATACTCATCTACATTTCTCTGCATTCCTGTAGTTTAACAAACGTTGAGTGATGACAAATTACAGGCGATATAGCTACCTATGTCACAACAAATAACCTTAGCCATAAATTTGAACTGACCGTGTTGACTTGAAGATGCCAATTAACCAAGTATAAAATGTTCGGCACACATTATTGTCACTGTTGTTATCTCCACTAAAACATTCGTACAAAATATATTCATTAGTGTCTTAAAACTTAACAAAAACACACGAGTCCCTCCTATATTACGCGGCCATGAGCACAGACCACCCGCCCGATTGCCAGTAGTTCAGTATTTGATATTTATCTATTTGTCTATGGATCCAATAATCCACGACCATACAGCCAGGAGTCTAAATATTGGACACTACATAAAAGAAAAACGTTAATAATCTGGGATATTTCATTTTTTTAAATATAAATATATGCAGTACAGAAAATTTATATTTAAGTATTGTTCTTTACAGATAGTGTGAGGGCGAGGTATGGGAGCGATTAAACGCGGTGACTTTTTAGCAGCGATGCAAACGCGCGACTGTATCGCTACATTTGGGAATTGTAGGCAATTGCATCGATACAAAGCGCGATTGCATCGACACAAACGCGTTACTAAAATTAACCGCTCTAATACAATGTATAAGGGGGCATTCATTATTCTGCATTGCAGTCCGCCTTGCCTTTCGTCGCGTAATCCAAAATTAAGAATGTAGTCGCAACGTGCAAGCTATCCTGCAACACTTCCTGCGAGGTTTCATACGTGGGCCATACGCAGGATAGTGTGTGAGTAGTCTCCTTGCCTTGCCTTGCCTACAGTAGCGTTTAAGCCATTGATGTTCGGAGACACCGCCGCCCGGGGGAGCATCAAACTTACCGATAATGAATCGCATTATGCGGGACAGAAAAAATTGAAGTGTGTGAAAAATTGAAATTGAAGTGACACAACGTCAATCAATCATCGATGGCTGACCGACAGAGTCCATGCAGATTCCCGAAGAATAGCGTCAACGCCCAAACGGCCGCGAAAACGTCCGATCAAGTCAATTAGCTGCTTCGAAGCAATGAGCAGACACCACCTTACCGACTGGATGGCAACATTCATCCTCGAGAACCAACAAAATAACGGATAATAACGGAGCGAATTTCATATGTATGTATAATCCAACAGTGATACGCATCCGTACTACTCAGGATTAAATTATGGTCGGTCACGCGAGCGGACAACTCCGAAGGTGCACAAAGAGTAGCGACGATGGTTGAACAGCCGTGCCGACGCCCTATAGATCTCGACTCGACGACGCGTCGGCGCCCGAACGGCTACGTGGACGTCCGTACATCTACGTCGACGGCGAATCGGCTTAATGCGACAAGTGCGATTAAACATGTTCACCTCAAGTCGATTCTGCGTAGGAATGGGTTTTACAAATCGTATATAGTTATTGAAACTATATATTGCCAATAAATGCCAATATCGAATATCCGATATCGTCTATCTTAGACACTATATATCGATACTGCTGCGCATCGCGTATTATATAGCGATGCCGAATCAAGCCGAGCGATTACCGAGTGGATACCAACACGAAATCATATATTTTCCAAATTATATACTGATATTGCTTCGTATCAGATATTCACTGAGTGGATATCAACGCGAAACCATTTTTCATTAGTCTTCGAAACTATATACTAACATTGGCCCGCATTGCTATTGTAAAACTGTATCCAATAATATATAGTTTTGAAATCTGATTCCGAATATTAGTAACGATGAACGAAACCCGATTTCAAATATCAATATATAGTTTCGATACGATATTCAGAAAAAGCTATATTACCCATCCCAAAGTCAAGGAAAAATTTCCATTTTGAAAAATTTACGATTATTTTTCAGAAAAATAATTTTTTTCCGAATACGTTTTGACAGTTAGCGCCTGTCGAAAATTTAAAATACTGAGCGCAAACGACGGAGCCATTACAAATAATACAGTATTTCATGGACGCTCTTTTTTCGTTATAGACAAGCGACGCGCTCTTTTAGCTTCTATTTTTATCAACAGATTATATAACGAGTTTATTCAAATTGATTTTTCCCTCGTATTGTATATTAAATAATAATGTAAAAAATTGTAAATAATGAAAATAAATTGTAATTGTTTAATATAAATCATCATAAATCATGCCGTACTGTAAGAAAAAAATAAAAAGTACATGTACAAGTACATACATACAATACAAATCAATTACAAAGTTAATAAAAACAACAAAATAGCTAACTGTCCTTAACCTACACAAGACATGCGAAAAATACAGAAAAAGAACCGTTACGTCAATTTCGATTTTCGAACTACAAGCGATTATAATATTTAGATTTAGAACAAAGAAACTATAGAGTTGATTTAATGTTAATCTTATTTTTTAAATTACCTTTTTATTAAATATTAATAATAAATAACTAAGAAAAATTTGTTGTGTTCGTTTTACTGTTTGGAGTCAATCAGAAGTCCGAAAATACATTTGCCCGAAGTAATGTTTGCTCGGATTTTTGTAATCCCAAATGTACTTTTTTAGGTTATTTTAGGAATATTGCAAGACACCTGGCGAGCAGCTCTACTTATCACTGCGGCGCGGCATACAAGATCTCAGCAAGTAGTACCTGGTAAATTTGCTAGGTGACTACCTGTCCACAACTGTGCTGTCATCAGCATGCCCAAAGACACCTGGAATCAACATATTATTAATATGCAGCAGAAAGAGAGTTGCGGACAGTAAGGAACCTTGAGGAACTCCGGGAACCTATTGCCGATGTTCGGAATAGTAACCTTCTAAGACCACTCAAATCGAATGTCCGTTAAGAAATCCGAGATCTAATTGCAAAGGTCAGTGGGAAGCCCATAAGAGGGAAGCTTGCTTAAAAGGCTTGCGTGCCAGTTCCTGTCAAAGGCTGTATAAATGTCTTAAGACACAGCAAGGGCTTCGCCATGTCTTTCTGTAGCCTCGCTCCATAGATGAGAGGCGTACACAAGAAGATCCCCAGTAGATTGCCCTCGTCGGAATCCGTACTGGCGATCACTGATCGTTGTCTTGAAAGCACGACAAGAGACGGTTGTTGATTGTTGAGTAACACGTTCCGTAGTCTTATAGAGTATGGAAGTGACTGAGGTAGGTCTATAGTTGACAGGGTCAGGTCTCAGCTCTGCTTCCTTGTTTTGGGCACAGATTGCACGTTTGCTATCTTCCACGACCTGGGAACTACACCAGTTTCAAGTGAGAGGCGGTACAGGCGTGTGAGAACACGAGACAACTCAGGCGCACAGTTACGCAGCACTATTGCTGGAATTCCATCTGGCCCGCTAGCTTGTAGCGACAAGCTCATGTAGTTCATATCGGGGGCGCCCAGAGAGCGCCCCAACAACGCTTAAAAAACAATCCATAATGCAAAAATTCCTCTTTTTTCTGCTTTGTCTTTGTCTCCACCTCAGCTTAATACGACACATGAAAGCCACAGCCTCAGTAGTTTTATTCCAAA